TGAGGTCATACACACCCTAGCATATCCATAGACAATCTGTAGCACCATCACACCTAGGCCTATTGTGAGGTCATACACACCCTAGTATATCCATATGGACATCAATAGTCATTTCTAACCAAATGATAAACACAAGGAACTTATCGATTGTCCGCCCAACCCCCCTCTGACAACTCCACTGGCGGTAGCACTGCTACGTCGCTGTCTCGACGCGAGTAATCACGCCTGGCGTCGCGGTGTAGATTACTGGCTGAGCCACATGTGAGTTGTTTGCTGTCTCTTGCCACGTGGGTTAACTTGGTTTTCCTGCCTTCTTAAAAATCAACATGCGTGTTGAGTGTTGGATGTTGTAAATATTGAATGTAGTATTAGTGTGTGTGGAGCGAATCTCACAGAAGAGCCTCTTACGGGGAGTGATGGTTATAAAATATATTTTTACAGCCAAAGTACAAGAGGAACAAATCACACTCCATGTATTAGTATCTAAAAATATCTTTATTTCTTCCTTTGTTTCTTTTTTATTTTAAGCGCATGCACATATTTCGTTCTCTGCTGATGTACAAAATGTCTTATGACTATAACTAGTATAAATGTAATATCAATGTTTCAAATAAAAATAGTAATAATAATAATTGTTCTATCATAAACATACACGATGTCGCATGACTTTAGCTAGTAAATATAACAACAATCATGTATAATAAAAATAATATTTGTTATATGATAATGAATGGAGCGAGAAGGAATGAACTTTTTTATTACCTCTTCCCTCCATATCAACGCTTGATCAAGGGCGATTTTGTTCTGTTCTGTTAGCCTATTCCCATATGTCACTTATTTCCTCCCCCCCCCCCCCCCCCCCGTGTCTTGTGCATGTGAATATTCCGCCCAATGTCCGCGTCGTGTGCCAGTCATAACAGCGTCGCACCTTGGTCACACTTTTTTTTTCACATCAATAGTGACGGGAAACCTTCACAAAAAAAGATTTAGATCATTGAGAAGCGACCACTTGTCATACTAATGAAATACGTGTTGATCAGCGTGATTGGTTGCAGTAAAGGTTTCTTGGTCATAGATGTGACATTGCAGGCACCGTGTATAATGTTCGGTCCTTTGGATGTTTCTATTATTAGCTAGAGTACTTCCCTCTCCTCCTCAACCCTCCCTTCACTATAAAAATCTTGTTACCCACCTCTTCTACAAATCGTCACCTTTAAAACTAGTATGGACAGATCTTTCCTGCTAGCTGCGTGGCCTATGAAGAACGACGTTTCTTAATCGTTAGTCGAATGGTCACGCGAGATGTCCCATGTTTGTTACGTGCCGTACACACATAAATACCCTTATCACGAGCGCGTTTGGTTTTCTTAATCTTTAAATAAGACGTACTTCTTTTTCTTTTACCACTTCCAATGTTGTAGTTGATAAGATAAGGCTTAACTGAAGAGCATTTTGAGTTCTTCTTGTCGGAACAGCCAATCAATTTGCTTGATCGATACCAGCTGATGATTGGCTGACCACCACCTGCGGGCACTCGTGCAGTGCATCTCAAAACAGCAAGGGACCCCTCGATGACAGTTAAGGAATTATTCATTGCTTTCAGTTGAGGTCCACGCTTTTTCAATCCAGGGCCTTTCTTACCGGGTCTTTTCCCTCCTGGCTTTTTGGATCCTGGTCGTTTTTGTCCCGGTCTCTTACGATTATTTTTTTTCTGGTCAGGCTTTTTATTTTTTCCTTTCTTCTGCCCTGGCTTTTTATTTACCGGTTTTCCTACAAAAAAAAGTAAAAGTATATTTAAGTCGTCATACAATGTCATGCTTTTGCAATTAAAGATTAACTTGCTTAAATTTCTGGTTAGGTTAGCTTCAGTTCTTATCTTTTATTCAGTCGGTCGGGTTGCCTATCTACCACTTTATCGAGTCTAATAGTCCATTAGACAACGACGTGCTGTGTTTGGACTCAGTAACAGTATTTGACCTAAACAGCTCATCCATCAATCACCCACGCCAATGGAACGCTTTTATTTTGCGCGTCATTTGGTGTCCTGATTTTTGATTACCCCATAGTGAAACACTTATTTTGTTACGTCGGGTTTTGTTTAATTATTTGGAAGACCAACATTTTGTCAATTTAAGAGTGGCTGTCCGTAACGGTCGAGAATGGCTGTACATCGAAGGAATTTTCAAAGTTCTCATATTTTGTCAGAAGATACCCTTTGGTAAGCTCTTTCAAAAAATCTAATTTAAAACTTCGAGCGCTTTTTTATTTTGGCAAATTTTACGAAAATGTAAAAATCGACTTCCGTTCTGCTCTGGACCGGGGTGAACAGCCCAAAATATTATCCAAATTTAAGAAGGCCTCACTCGTTCAAAAATACTCGTATCGATCTGATACTTTTTTAAAATTTTAACTAACTATCAGACTCCAAAAGCGATAAAAAATATGTTTGGAAAAATGATTTTTTTCTCGCTTTTTTGGCAATGTTTTTGATGGCATTTCAGGGAGCTACAACGCGAAGCAAATTTTAGCCTTAGTTGAATGCCCTAAATCATCACCTGGTATATATTTTATTTTCACTAA